ATGGTGGATCACATCTCTATTACAACAGGCATTTGCTGTTGTTTTGCCCATTTTGGTGGCCGTGGCGTCAGCGGTTCCCGAAGAAGGCTACAACTACCAGGCGCCAGGAGGTCAGGGATCCCAGTTCCCGACCGGGGCGGGAGGGGCACAGTACCCTCCGTGCCCGCCAGTACGCCTTCCAGTGGGACGTGAACCATGAGCCTTCAGGGAACTTTACGGCCACAAAGAGCAGAGGGAAGACGCTAACACTCAGGGAAGGTGAAGTGATTATCTTTTCCTTAATAATAGTATTCTTATATTCTCATTGCTATGGATACTATTCTAATACCATCTTTGGTATTTTTTTAAGATAGAATCTAACGAAAGCATTATATTCCACAGTTACTACGTCCAGCTGCCCGACGGTCGACGTCTCCTGGTCGAGTACTACGTGACGCCTCCGGTTACCATCCACCGTCACCTTCGAGGAGAGGCGCAGTATCCTTCAGGAGGGAATCGGGAATACGGCCAGTCCGGTCAGGGATCGAGCCAAGGTTCTCCTCGCAGTTATATGGCGCTCCCTCTAAATAGGAACGTCTTCACTACTGCTGTTATATTTGTTATTATCATGAAGTATTGTTAATAAATGTTTGCAACAATGTTGAAGAACGTTCGATTTTACCTTTGAAAAAACATTAGAAAATGAACAATAACAAAAATGAGACGTATTCAAGGTGACTTTACTAAAATAGCCAGCAATTAGATCTAGTAGAAGGCGAAGTATGTTAGCTGACGAGGCAACAGCCACAGTGGCGTCGCCATCCTTGCACAATCTCGAGGGAGGCGCCCCTTTGAGTATATATATATATATATATATATATATATATATATATTATATATATATATATATATATATATATATATATATATATACAACACACACACACACACACACACACACCACCACACTCAGATACACATACATACATATATATTTATATATGTTTGTGTATGCACACACACACACACACACACACACATATATATATAGTGTGTGTGTGTATATGTATGTATATGTATATGTATATGTATATATACATACATATATATATATATATATATATATATATATATATATATATGTATACATATATACATTTATTTGCACACATACACATTTACATAGAGAGAAAGACAAACCAATCATCGATTGTCAGTAAAACGCCAAAAGTTGATCCATATTCGTAGACTAACACGTTCTAAGCCGAGTTGATGCTGAAGGGTGGCCAGTGCGTAGCTAATATTTATTGTTAAATAAAGAATACAGAGTACAGTAAAACAACAGTTGTGACCATCATCACTGTTACTCTATGATTTGCTATCATGCTACTGTCATAAATTTCGTTTTATATATTATTATTATAGCATTATCAATGGTATTTTATTACCATAATCATCGCATTGCACACTGTCAATTTCTGTACCATTAGAATGTTCTGATTTTCTGATGTACTCATTAGCAATATATTGATTTTGTATATTATCTTAATGAGAACAAAAATATGTCTCTGAAATGCTTTAGTTTTGCCACTGATGCTGATGACCACGTGACAGTGACAATGAAAATGACGCTGATTGTCCTGTACTGATATTTTATATGAAATTGGACAAAAAGCAGTATCCTTATGAACGAGATTTCACAGGCTATAAAGAGGATCGAAACCTTTCCCTGATCCTCATAAACAGCAACACTTTTACTGTGGATAATTCCGTCAAAGTTGAAGCAACTTTGGCTCTCCTGTATTACAAATTGATAATTCTTAAGAGTTAACAATTTGCAATGCAGGAGAGCACAGAGAGAGCTGGTGGGATGTAGCAAGAGCAGTGAGTAAATATTCTTAGCAGTTTACAAAAGATTAAAAAAGGGTGACTGACTGGAGCAAAACGCAGCCACATGAATTTTAGACAGTTTGACATGAGTTTGATATTGCATTTTGATTAAATGAAGTATGCGAATTCAGCAATTCACTTCATCTATCATCTAGCTTTCTCATGAATTACATGTAATTTGAAAGAGTGAGAATAAATATTGAAGAAAATAGTATAATACGTTATGGACTTCCTGGACTTCCCTGAGTCTATCTGTTAGCCTGACTGATCGTATGAATCGCTTCTAAAGGGATGTTATCCATCTGTTAGGCCTCAAAACAGGGCACTTTTCCACATATCCTGCACTTTGCCTAAACTAAATTTTTATGAGCGAATAAAAGCGAATAAATGTGTGAAATATATGCGTGGAAGGAACACGAAGAGACATTCACTCCAGTTTCAGCGACATATAAAAGCGAGCTTCCACGTTCAGCCGCCAGTTCTCTTCGCTCTCTCTAAGGAAGCAAAATGAAGGTAAGGAATGAGCCCGAAAAGTGAAGCTGGATCATAAACAGATATTGTTTGTTTTTAGTCGCGTTTTATCTGTTGAATATTACAACAGGTATCCGCTGTGTTTGCCCTTTTGGTGGCTGTGGCGTCGGCGATTCCCCAAGAAGGATACAACTACCAGGCGCCAGGAGGTCAGGGATCCCAGTTCCCGACCGGGGCGGGAGGGGCACAGTACCCCTCCGTGCCCGCCCAGTACGCCTTCCAGTGGGACGTGAACCATGAGCCTTCAGGGAACTTTTACGGCCACAAAGAGCAGAGAGAAGACGCTAACACTCAGGGAAGGTGAGTTATAAACTCCTTTTCTTTTACGAATACTTTTCTTATATCTGTTGTTAATACGACCTCACGATATACATTTTTTAATAAATGAAGTATGACGAGAGCACTGTTTATCCCTAACAGTTACTACGTCCAGCTGCCCGACGGTCGACGTCTTCTGGTCGAGTACTACGTGGACGCCTCCGGTTACCATCCCACCGTCACCTTCGAGGGAGAGGCGCAGTATCCTTCAGGAGGGAATCGGGGATACGGCCAGTCCGGTCAGGGATCGAGCCAAGGTTCTCCCTCGCAGTTATATGGCGCTCCTTCTAAATAGGAGTTTTTAGTGGCATATACACATTCATTATTGTTATAACATTTTGCTGCTTCTGTTAAATGTAAGTGATCAATAAACACTGTTACGTTATTAAAGACCTTACTTTACCCTGTTATGGTATTGGTACTTACCGGAAATGAATCAGACGCAAAGGAAATGGCACAAATTGGAGGTCGAAACCATCATCACCTTTTCCAGCAACACACGCATACAAGCGCACGTACATGCATATTCGTTAATTCATCAATCACTCTGTATCTGCATAAAGTATATTTAGAAATCCAAAGTTCTTGGATTTATTGCCCATTGAAGAAGTCAGTCAAGTATTTTACTATTTCCGTTTATTTTATGAATAACATGCGCGCGCGCGCACACACACACACACACATATATATACATATATAACTCCTATAAGCTTCCATGCATGAATATTTCTCAAATCATTAATAATAAGAAAGAAACAGTCAAGGACTAACATGAAGATTAGGAAATTACATTTCACTACACTCTAATGACTTTTTGTTTTGCCTTTTATTTTGATTAATTCAAATGATTTTTTTCAATCTCTCCAAGACTACGTGATTCCGACAATGCGACCATTAGAAGACACAAATGTACCATGATTTTGAGTTCATTTTGCACACGTTTAAAAAAAAAATAAAAAAAAAGACATTCTGCCGACTACGTTTTAGGATATCTACCTTAACAAGGATTCATTCTCATACTACAAAGCCAAATATGGTTAGCGCAATCCAGAATTTGTGTACGAGGAGAGATCTTAAGATTTTCGTAAGTAGACGTCAGCCATTAATTTCCATTGTGGTTAGTATGGTATAAACATTATCATTATCATTACCCATTGTTGTTGCTGTTATTAAATCATAATTACAATTTGTATTATTATCATAGTCTTTATTGTTTATTATTATTTTTGTTTTTATTATTATTATTTATCCTTACATGATCATTATTATTGTAATCATTATTATTATTATTGTTATTATCCTTACCATAATTATTATCATTATTGTAATCATTATTATTATTCATTATTATTATCATATTATTATTGTATTATTATTATAATCATAAATAGTATTAGTATTTTAATCTCATTTTTATAATATCATTATTATCATTATCATTATCATTATCTTCATCATCATCATCATTATCATCAAAATTATTATTTTTATCAGCGTTATTATTATCATTTTTAACTTCATTATCTTTATTATCATTATCATCATTATCACTCTTTTTCTAATCATTGTTATTCCGACTATGATAATCAATATTATTTCTGTTCCTATTCTTCTTATTATTATTATCATTATTATTTTATCATTATCATTATTATCATTATCATTATAATTATTGTTATTATTTCATTATTATTATTACCAAGCTTTGTTATTATCTTTTTCATTGTTATCACAATTATAATCATTGTAACCATTATCGCCATTATTATCTTCATCATGATTCTTGCCAATGTTATTCTTTTTATTATCATTATTATAAATATTGGTATCATCCTCGTCATATATAGGCAGATGAACAAATAAATAAAGGAATATATATAATATATATATATAATATATATATATATATATATATATATATATATATATATATATATATACGTGTATTTCCACACATACACACACACATACAAACACATACACACAGACAGACACACGCATATACAAAATATATGCACACACACACATACATATGAATACATACATACATATATACATATATATATATATATATATATATATATATATATATATATATATTATATATATATATATATATATATGGGCGCGTGTGTGTGTGAGTAGAGTGTGTGTGTGTGTGTGTGTGTATTCTATATTTGCGCATATATGTGTGTTTGTGTGTGTTATTCTTAAGCATCAAAGTCATTTATAGCTGACATTCAGAATATATTGAATATATTGAGAGTAATATTGACCGCACC